AAAAAGGTTTTATGTTTATCTTGTATGTTTTGTATGCTTTTAAAAATTAATAAAATTTGTTTAAAAAAAAAATTAAGATTGTAGACAGTCTCCCTATTGCTAGCAGAAGTATTTTGGCGAATAATAACTACAATATAGCAAAATGACTTTTTACTGGCATTAATCTAGCTATACCTACCACAATCATTTCAGATGGTTCTAGAACAATGCATTCACAGCCACGCCTGAAGCTTCCTGCAGAGCGTTTCCCAAAACTAAAGGAGAGAAAAAACATTTAGAAGAAAAAAAACTGAAAAATCAAAGAAACTTCTAAACAAATTAATGCTATAACAACTGTTAGCTGATATCATTGCTAATAGCAATAACACTTACTTATATACTGCTTTACAGTGCATTACAGCTCTCTCTAGTGGGGGGGGGGGGAGAAGTGTGTAAAATTTACCATTAATACCCCACATTTAAATAATGAGTTCAACTATTCTAAATGGATTATGTTACCACTGATTATAATGCTGTTACCCAGACTTTTTTATTCTTTGGTTGAGCTGAAGGTTGACGGCAGAACAGATATCAACCACCTTCTATTAATCCTGTTCCTAAATAATCACAGTAACAACCATATATTTAGAAGATGATTTGAGAGCAGTTTATTTAAACTAATGAAGTTTTTCTTAGGGTGGACTGATTTGCAGGCTTTCTGGAGCAGTCTCTCTCTTTAGACTCCACTTTTTCTTTACAGTTACCAGGTGGCAAGAACACCTTGAATTTGACATCTACCTCCAAAGGTATTTTATATGGAATAATGTGTGACAGTTAAAATAACTATTTGTTCCTCATTATACACTGTACAAGGTTTATAATATCCCAATATTCTAGACCAGGAGTGTCAAACTCACAGCCTGTGGGCTGGATGTATTATGCGCTGGCCACGCCCACTCTTGGTTTAGCGAAGGGGGGGAGTTGTGATATGTCACGTGATGACATGACGACATGAGTTTGACGACACCCCTGTTCTAGATAATTTGTCCCTTATCATCACAATGATCTCACTTGGACAAAAAAATAAAACAGGGAATGTTGCTCAAAGAACACTAGGAAATCACTGATTAAAGGTTCAATGAATAAGGATATGGTCAGGTTTTCTTCATTGTGGGTTTCCAAGGAAAAGGAAATAGACTGAATTGTTATAACCTAGCAAATTATTAGAAAACATCATATTTTAAATCATTGTCAGGCCATCAGCTTATCTTTTAATTTTTTAATTTTTATTTATTAAAATAGTGAAATATACAGGAATTACTCTTTAGTAGGAATATAAAATAGTGATTATAAAGTTAAGAAAACATTAGGCATAATAGAAATATTAATATAAATATAAATTCCTAGCTATGGGCTCCAATTCTAGTAGCTTTTTCTCTTTGCTATTTATGCTTAAAACTTTGAAATGCCAATTAGCAACTAAAATCCATTTGATCTGTTCAAGCATTGGCCAATAAAGTAGCTCTATTATTTTAATAAAACAATACAAATAAAAGTATTATAGAGGACACTTAGTGGTAGATGTCACCCCAAACTTGTGTCTTCTATTTCTCATCCAACTCCTCATCAACAGTAGTTTGACTAAACTTGGTAGATGTATTTACTTTTGCTATTATGTATAGATAATGCAGCAATTCTTTGCTCTTGCCAGATTATTTAATAGAGGACTTTGGTCTTTCATCTCCTACGGCTATACTACAAAACTTATCATTACAAGTAGTTCTTTACTTATAACCATAATTGAGCCTTGCAATTACGGTTGTATGTCATGATGACTGCAAAGCAGATCATCACTTAACCAACTTGATTTTGCGACCTTTTTCTGGTGATCCCTAAGCAAATACCACAGTTGTAAAGCAAATGCTGCACTTGTTAAGTATACCCATTGTTCAATGTAGGTCAGTTTTTGCTAGGAATTGGAAATAAATGCCAATTTCCAGCAAAAATGTCATAAATATGACAGTAGGTTGCAACAAACAGCTGTACATGTGAGCCAGTTGTTGAGCATCCAAAATACAGTCATATGATTGAGGGAATGGCATCTGAACCAGGTTATAAGTAGCTTTGGGGGGGCTTAGTCATAACTTCAAACATTTGTTAATTTTATTCATTCATTCATCTATCCATCCAATTTACATATCATCAAATCAATACTCACAGCCATTCACAGCAACCCAGTAAAAGGATACAGTCAATTAAAATGCCCATAGAATCATAAAATCAAAATTACAAATGCATAATAAGTATAAATAACACAACCAAAGTACTAGACAAAAATTGAATCTAACATTTGCATTGAATTTAACACTCTGCTCTTAGAAAACACCATAATCTTGAGTTCTCTAAAACATCTCACAGTTGTTTAATGTCAGCAAAGTAGGCTATTCTAGCAAAAATGAATTATAAATTTGTAAAAGCTTCAGTTCATTGGAGAAGATGCAGTTTAATTTGCCTGTAATCCCATTTACTGAATTCAATCAACTAAGGCATTAGCATTCTTCTCAGTAGGGTTAATAGCTACTAGAGGATAATTTTCATTTTCTTAAAGGAGACCTGGGGAGAGGAAATTTCTAGCCTAACAATGTAATCCAGAGTTTAGCGTAAAGTATTTATGGAGTTCCATAAAGGCACCAGGTCTGAGATACTGATCTTCAGGAAGGCTTGATGGTTTTCAAACAGGACAATAACATGAACTATTCCATTATAACAGATTATACCAAATGCCTGGATCCAGTGAGCCATTTTTCCAAAACAACCTCATGAGATATTTCACTTCATTCTTAGAACACAAAGTCAACTATTTGAGGTAAAGTTGCTGAAACCAATGTGAATAAATACTCATTATCAAGGGAACTGAATATTTTCCTAAAAGTAGTGATTGTATGTTCAGATGTAAACTATATCTCTGTGTTCTCCATATATAAAGTCCTACATATTAAGTGTAAAAAGATGAGCTCAGATATTTTTCTATTTATATTGTGATTACTCCGGTCAATCAGACTAGAAATACACTTTAACTATATACAATAGAAATACAGAAGAAAGAAATGCCACCACCTAATTCTGCAGCAGGAAGTTAATACATTTCATCTCCCCTTATGCAGATCTGGCAACAGCTAGTGATTAAAGCATCCTGGGCAGGTCAAGGAATTTCTCAAGATTGCAGTCTTCCACTTCATAATAACTCTTCATAATAACAAGCACTATAATTTTGACTCAATTTTATGAATACTCCATAGAGCTGCTAACATCAGATAAAAACTGTTTGAAGACTAAGTCAGGACCACAGACTGTTAATAATTAGTCTTCCCTACCCTTAGCAAAAGGATATGCATGCATAAAGGCTATGCGTGCTTTTGTGTTAATATAGGTTAATAGTTCATCTCATAACTCAATTCAGTCTACAGGGACAATGTCACAATGGGGTTGCAAGTCAAAATGTACATCATTCAAAATTATGCTGCATTTCAGAATTCTTTTAAAAACAATGCTTACAACAAACAGCCAATAACAGCATTCCAAACTTTCCAGAAAATTAATTAATTTTATATAGCTTTCTGTCTTATATCCGTGAATCTGGAAGCCTCACAAAACTGTATAACAAAAGCAATACTCAATTACAAATAAACAACTAAAATAAAACCATTAAAACCAGTGGTGGGATTCAACCAGTGTAACTACCAGTTCGCTAATTACGTTTTGCGCGCGCATGCATGGGTTTGTCTGAATGTAAGGAAGAACTGTTGCAGGACTTGTGCCAAAAATGTAACTGCAATGTCCTGTGTATATAGGAGACCCACAGAGACAACCATCATAGAAGACCTAAAATATAGAGCATGTAGCTTGTAGTAGAGAGACCCCACTGAAAGTAGGGCAGTGCAGTTTATGTGAAGCCTGGTATCCTGCTTCAGTCCACAACAACATCAGAAATAAATAACATAGAAGTAATAACTGTAGAGCCAAGAAACTGTATGATCAGAGTATAAACCATCATTAACTGAGTTCAAGGGTGACAAATTTAATACATTTTATTTATTAATATTTACAGACCCCTCACATCCCGGACAAAACTGTTTCAACTCCTACTCTCAAAACGATGCTATAGAGCACTGCACACCAGAACAACTAGACACTAAAACAGTTTTTTCCAGAATGCCATTACTCTGGTAAACAAATAATTCCTCCAACACTGTCCAACTATTTACAAAGTCTGCCCTACTATTACTGTTAATCTTCTCATCACTCCTTATCATCCATCGCCTGTAACTTTGTTGCTTGTATCCTTACGATTTATATTGACTGTTTCCCAGTATGATTTGATTGTTTATTGTACCCTATGACTATTGTACCTTAGGATTCTTGACTCTTGATGACTGTATCTTTTCTTTTATGTACGCTGAGACTATTTGCACCAAGACAACTTCCTTGTGTGTCCAATCACACTTGGCCAATAAAGAATTCTATTCTATTCTATTTAATAAGGATAAAATTATTTTTGTCACTGGATACTTTGTCACAATAGCATCTGGGGTTATCCTGATGATGACAGAAATGTGGAGGCTGTTATATAGTGGGCAGATTTGAATAACCTGGTTCTTTTATGTGACAACAAATTACCAGCTTCATTTAACAGTGAAAGGGACCGCAGGGGATATAACCCAGACTTAATATTTGTGAGTAATCATACAATCCAGCAATGTGACAAAGTAGTCTGCCCACCTATCCCAAATTCCTAGCCCCCACCAATTATGTGTCATGTTATTGCTGTAGTTTGACCTCAAGAGTCCCATTTAGACATAAAAGTAAAAAAGCTAAAGTTAAAAAAGGTGACTGGCCTAAATTTCAGAGACTACTGGGCAGTGCTGTTACTCAGTTAATACCTAAACCAAGCTATTACAGCAAATTTGAGGAGGCTGTTAAAAAATGTTCCCAGTTATCAATCCCTCGGGGCTGCAAAACCAATTATATCCAAGGCCCTTCAACAGAAACGAAGAGTAAATTGCAGAAGTATATCACTCTTTTTGAGGCTGATCCCATGGCAGAAGACACAGTGAATGCAGGACAGCAGTTAATTACTTCTATAGATGAAGCTAAGAGAGAAAGCTGGATTAAAATAATGGAGGAACTGGACATGAGCACAAGTAGCCACAACTAGACACAACAACAGCTTTTTCCCAAACGCCATCACTCTGCTAAACAAATAATTCCCACAACACTGTCCAACTATTTACTAAGTCTGCATTACTATCACTATTAATCTTCTCATCACTCCTATCACCCATCCCCTCCCACTTGTGACTGTATGATTGTAACTTGTTGCTTGTACCCTTATGATTTATATTGACTATTTCCCAGTATGATTTGATTGCTTATTGTACTCTATGACTAACATTAAGTGTTATACATTATGATTCTTGATGAATGTATCTTTTCTTTTTATGCACACTGAGAGCATTTGCACCAAGACAAATTCCTTGTGTGTCTAATTACACTTGGCCAATAATTCATTCATTCATCATTCATTCATTCATTGAAGAATTTGAAGAATTTGAAAGCAGTGGAAAGATACTAAGAATCAATACTGAATGGAACCAACAGAGGAGCTGGCAACTGGGTCTGACAAAAGCTGGGAAGTATGGAAATTGTTGAACAGACTGCACACAGGTTCAAGAAGATTCAGAGACACTCTGAACAAATGAGGTTATCTGATGGTTTATGCTCTTTGCAATTTTGGTGACATGCAGACAATATGCATACTTGTCCTTTGTGTCCCAATCAGCATAGCAGGCAGGCATAACAGAATGTAATTAATATTGCTAGTTTTGGGGCAAGATCTGTTTAATTCATATATATTTTAATTTTGTATTTTATGTTTTATGTCACGTATTATGCCTCATTTCAATTGTGATGTTTCTGAAATGAATAAACACCTGGCAATAGTGGGACAAAAATTGTGCTTCTCTCCTTGATCATAGTACCCTTCTGGACCAGTTTTGGGGATTGGAGTGGGTGGCAAAATATTGTGCTGATTCTCCTCTTTCCTTTGAGGCTAGTTCCAAGCATGGTGATAAGGGAGCAGATGTCCAACCCATGGCCCTTGTTATGTGGGATGCTGTAGGCTTCAGTGCTCTCCCCTCTCCTATTTAACACCTACATGAAGCCACTGGGTTAGGTCTTCCACTGGTTTAGGGTAAGCTATATATTTCCATCATGGAATCTCCAAGCAATGCCATGGAGGTCCTATCTGATCAATTAGAGGTGGGGGAAAGGGTCTGGATAGAGAACAATTTCAGCTCAACCCTAGGATTCTCCTGGTTCTGGGCCATCTCGTGTTCTGGATGAGATTGCACTACCTCAGGCAATTTTGTACTCGATTTGGGGTGCTCCTAGATTTCCACTCCTTTTCAAACAGCAGGTAACATGGCCAGGAGGTCCTTTGCTGAATTTCATATTGCAGTGTTTTAAAGTCAATAGACAAGGTCCAGAAGAAACACAATCTACATGTTATATATTTTAGACAATAGCAATTATATTACAGGTAATTTAGGTAGCATTTCAAATAAAGTTTTGAAAAAGAACATATTTTGTGCTCTGTACCAGAAACTGCCTACATGTATAAAGTTTCTATTGTATTTTCAGTGTATTGTACTTTTAGTGTAATACACTTATATGTTCATATCAACAGATGTAAATATTCTATTGAAATATGCAGTATTGGTAACTGATATAGCTTTAAATATGCAGATGCAATCAATTTCTCTTTAAATATTTAAACTAAAATGAATTCCAAACATACCTGCTCCTTGGAAGAAACATTGATTCTTTGATAAATACTGAACCAGACAGAAGAATATACCAACAGGTCCCAATATCATCAGGGCTGTTAAAAAAAATGAGAAAACTTTAGGATATGTGGTTTTAAAAGAAGAAAAAGTAGATAAAAGCCATGAAAGAAAACATATACAACAGTGCTGCAATTCACATAAGTAACAGTGGTAAGTTAGTCTTAACTGATGCATATTTTTTAAATATGATATTTTTTCACTAAGTCTTATCATATACATTTCTATAGGATAAACAATTTACTTATTTTCTTGTTTATTTTACTATTATATCCTGACAAATCATATACTCATAGCAGTTTATCAATAAAACCAAATACAAAATCCTTACAGCAACAAAATCAATAAAACATCTTCCCACCCTAACCTACTATCCATATTAGCAACCATAAATGTAAAAATCACTGTTAATTAAACTCTCTGTGGAAAAGCCCTATTTGAATGTCTTCTAAAATGCCATCCAGAAGGGTGGCATTTTACATTTCCAATAGTAAACTGCTTCATATGAATGGAATACAAGCTTGCTCTATTCAGGACTCAGGACTCAGCATCCATATTCAGTGCACACATACTAGATGGACTAGTTCTTCCAGAAGTAGGTATTCCTCAGTCATAAAAGGCTTTATGAGCAAAAACTAATACTTTGATTTGTATGTAGAAGTTCACTGCCAATCACAGCCGATCAAGTGCCCACAAAATCAGTAAATAAGGCAAGTTATTTGTCCATGCTAAAACTCTAGAGTCTATAAACTAACTGGGCATAGGGCAAAACATTTTCAATTAAGGTACTTCAAATGGGCTAACTTGCACAAACGTGTCTAAAATCTAGGACCCATGACTCCCACAGAAATTTTATGACATAAACATTCACCTAAAGCATTTAATGACATAATACACAGTATCATCAAACATTTCCTCTGGTCAACTTCTGATTTTTGATTGTGCTATACAGTTCAACATGGCTTACTTTCAAAGCAAATACATCTTTGAATATTGTATTAAATTTTTAAGAACCTTTCTAGTAAAGACAGTATATTAGAAACTCTACCACTATTGAAAGCATAGAGGAATCTGCTAAGGAAATATCTATGAAAACTGAACCAACAGGTCATGGGTTGCCCAGTAGTTTCTATTCAGAGCATATTATTAAATGGAAAAAAAATCTAATTTATTTCCTTTAGGATCAAAAATATTGATAGATTACAGAGATCCTTAAAAGTTTGTGAACACTTTTAAATGTTCAGTATTTTTGCATAAACATGCTCTACAATATGACTTAGAAGACACAAATCTTAGAACTACACTGCTCAAAAAAATAAAGGGAACACTTAAACAACACAATGTAACTCCAAGTCAATCACACTTCTGTGAAATCAAACTGTCCACTTAGGGAGCAACACTGATTGACAATCAAATTCACATGCTGTTGTGCAAATGGAATAGACAACAGGTGGAAAGCAGAGGCAGTTAGCAAGACATCCCCAATAAAGGAGTGGTTCTGCAGGTGGTGACCACAGACCACTTCTCAGTTCCTATGCTTTCTGGCTGATGGTTTGGTCACTTTTGAATGCTGGCGGTGCTTTCACTCTAGTGGTAGCAGGAGACGGAGTCTACAACCCACACAAGTGGCTCAGGTAGTACAGCTCATCCAGGATGGCACATCAATGCGAGCTGTGGCAAGCCGGTTTGCTGTGTCTGTCAGCGTAGTGTCCAGAGCATGGAGGCGCTACCAGGAGACAGGCCAGTACATCAGGAGACATGGAGGAGGCCGTAGGACAACAACCCAGCATCAGGACCGCTACCTCCACTTTTGTGCAAGGAGGGACAGGAGGAGCACTGCCAGAGCCCTGCAAAATGACCTCCAGTGGGCCACAAATGTGCATGTGGCTGCTCAAACGGTCAGAAACAGACTCCATGAGGGTGGTATGAGGGCCCGACATCCACAGGTGGGGGTTGTGCTTACAGCCCAACACCGTGCAGGACATTTGGCATTTGCCAGAGAACACCAAGATTGGCAAATTCGCCACTGGCACCCTGTGCTCTTCACAGATGAAAGCAGGTTCACACTGAGCACATGTGACAGACGTGACAGGGTCTGGAGACGCTGTGGAGAACGTTTTGCTGCCTGCAACATCCTCCAGCATGACTGGTTTGGCAGTGGGTCAGTAATGGTGTGGGGTGGCATTTCTTTAGGGGGCCGCACAGCCCTCCATGTGCTCGCCAGAGGTAGCCTGACTGCCATTAGGTACCGAGATGAGATCCTCAGACCCCTTGTGAGACCATATGCTGGTGCGGTTGGCCCTGGGTTCCTCCTAATGCACGACAATGCTAGACCTCATGTGGCTGGACTGTGTCAGCAGTTCCTGCAAGATGAAGGCATTGATGCTATGGACTGGCCCACCCGTTCCCCAGACCTGAATCCAATTGAGCACATCTGGGACATCATGTCTCGCTCCATCCACCAACGCCACATTGTACCACACACAGACTGTCCAGGAGTTGGGGGATGCTTTAGTCCAGGTATGGGAGGAGATCCCTCAGGAGACCATCCACCACCTCATCAGGAGCATGCCCAGGCATTGTAGGGAGGTCATACAGGCATTTGGAGGCCACACACACTACTGAGCCTCATTTTGACTTGTTTTAAGGACATTACATCAAAGTTGGATCAGCCTGTAGTGTTTTTTTCCACTTTAATTTTGAGTGTAACTCCAAATCCAGACCTCCATGGGTTGCTAAATTTGATTTCCATTGATAATTTTTGTGTGATTTTGTTGTCAGCACATTCAACTATATAATGAACAAAGTATTTAATGAGAATATTTCATTCATTCAGATCTAGGATGTCTTATTTTTGTGTTCCCTTTATTTTTTGAGCAGTGTATATAAAAAGAACAAAATCAACAAATTAGTCAACTGCATGTCAAGAATGCATTATCTTTGTTCATTTATTCTTTGAGGAAAGTGACCCAAAGTTACATATTTCTATATGGCAAAAGAATGTGAACGTTGATTTTCAATAACTAGCCTGCCACATTGGTCAACAATAATTACAACAAAAAGTATAAGTACATTTACAGTAACTATTGATTAATCCTGCACATTGGCTTGGAGTAATTTTAGCCTACCCTTCTTTAAAAACAGCTTCAGTTAGGTATCAGGACTGCCATCCTGCTGTACCAGCTATTCTTTGCCAGATGCCAGTCTGCCCTAACTGACAAGGAGAGGGGGCTGCAGGGACGAAGGAGGAGGGCTGGGATAAGGGGAATCAAAACTACTCTTCGTATCATCCTGTGAGAGCCACTGACCATTCCAAGGTCGTGGAATGGAATGCAACACCATCCAGCCTGGCAAGTCAGGGACATCCACAACATTTCTACAGGATGTAGCCACCTTCTGCTTTAACCATTCTTCAGTCATACAACTTGTGCTTGTTGGATTGTTGTCTTGCTTCATGATAAGACTTTCTCTTGAACTTTAATTCATGGACACTTATCCTGACATTTTTTTATTGCTGTAGTTCAGAATTCATATTTCCACCAGTAACAACAAATTGTCCTGGTCCAGAGGCAGCAAAGTGTGCCCAAATCTAGGTACGGCTGCCGCCATGTTTCACAGATGGGATGAGGTTCTTATGATAAAATTCAGTGTTTGCCTTTCACCAAATATAATACTTTTCATTCAAGCCTAACATTTCAATTTGCATCTCATCTAACCACAGATTATTCTTCCAATAGTCTTCTGTCTTATCCATGTGATCTTCTGTAGACAGGAAGCAATGTTCCTTTTTTTTCAAGTAATGGCTTTCTCTTTGCAATTCTATTGTACATATCATTGTTCCATGTTCTCCCAATGGTAGTCTTATGAACATTGGCATTTGCTAATGCAAGAGAAGCTTTTAATTCTTTAGGCACCAGCAAGGTTTGAGACATTATGGAACATTAATGCTATGCTCTTGGTTGATCAATCATTCATGGGGAGAGTAACACTGATGTTGAATTGATTCCATTTGTACACGATCTGCTAAACAGTTGATTAATGGAGTCCAAACACTTTAGATTCCAGTTGTGTAGTTTCATCACCTTCTGGTGAGCATCAACAACTATTTTTCAGAGATCTTCAGACATCTCTTGTGTTGAAGCCATGACACACTTCCACAAACTTTAATTGGGAATACCTAGCATTCTATTTTTTTAAAATAAGGTAGGACCTCCCCCACACACCCCTGATTATCATTCCATTGATTGAACATCTGACTCTAATTTCCTCTTCAAATGAACTGATAATATTAGTGGTCCACATACTTTTGCCACATACAAATATGCACCTTTAGATCATTTTCTTCAACAAATAAATGAATAAGTATAAAGGTTTTACACATTTGTTTATTTAGGCTATCTTCTGTCTAATTTTAGGACCTGGTAGAGATCATATCACATTTTAAGTCATATTTATGAAAAAATATTGAAAATTCAAACAGATTCACAAACTTTTAAGTACAACAGTACTTTTTCACAAGTGAGCTTTAGGACTAACCGGCAATGAAGTCAACAAATTATTTAAATATTTGTGCTTGAAATACATAGGATTGTAAATATCAAGTTTATGCTGCTCTGCCAAATAATCTGCAGAATAAACCGCAAAATAATTCAACTGGCAAGTAAGACCAGAGAATGAAATTAAACTAGAACTAGTATTCTGAAACAGTTTAAATAAAAATTGTTAAATAAATTGTTAGCTAAATAAAAATTGTTTTTATTTCTAAGTCTCTAACTAAAGGTAATCATCGACTTAACCCCACAACTGAGCCCAACATTTCCATTTCTAAGCAAAATAATTGTTACGTGTGTTTTATGACCTTTCTTGCCATCATTGTTAAGTGAATCACTGCAATTGTTTAGCAACACAGTTGTTAAATGAATCTGGCTTCTCCATTGATTTTGCTTGTCAGAAAGTTACAAAAGGTAATCACATGATCCTGAGACTCTGCCACTGTCATAAATATACGTCAGCTGCCATAAGTCACATTTTTCATTGCCATTGTAACTTTGAATGGTCACTAAATGAATAGCTGTAAGACAAGGACTACCTCTAATGTCATGAAACTGTTGGGAATTGTAGTAATGTGAAAACAACTCAGTTATGTGTAAGAAACAATTTCCCTCCCTCCCAAAATTTTTAGAATGATCACACATAGTATAAGGAGTATATTTTTAAAATATCTGATAGCATAAAGTATAAAATACTTCTAAAACAAACTGCAACGAACAATATTACAACTACTTTACACTATTTGTTTCAATTAGGAACATGGTTAAGAAATACATTTTTCTCAGTACAGTTAAAGACAACACAATGCTATTTGAAAAAGTAACCAAACATGAATATGCAAGGTTCCCAAAAATAAATAATATAAAATTAAAAACTCACTAGTATAAAACTTCATTGGCTTCATGTCGCTCATATCTCACAGTTTCACACATGATTCTGTAAAACAATTAAAAAAGCATTTATAATGTGATATAAGAGTTTAGCTAATTATTGCTATTTAGCATTAATTTTCATGACTGTTTTAGCTATTAAGTTTCTTGTCCTCTCTACTTGTATTATTAAGGTCATATGGACCAGTTCAGGAGGAGCTAAACCTAAAGTCTATACAATATTATGTGTTCCTTTGCCTATATTCAAAGACTGTTAGATATCTGAATTATTTTCCTTTGTGATCTGCAATATTAGGTGAGGGAGATAAGACAAGAGGAAACGATGAGAAAAGTATACATCAGAAAAAAGACAGTTTCATCCATGTTTGGTCCTTTCTTATTCCCAATGTCAGTAACATTAAATTGTAATTGGTTTCCACATATATATCAAAACAGATGAACAGAATGTAGATACTGTGTTTATTATATTCTGTGATATTTCATTGTGCATAATTGCCAACATAATAGAAGATGCTATTTTACTGTAAATTAAATAACTCATTGAGTATTAAGAAATGGTCAACTGAGAGAAAACACAATGAATTCTGCTTTATGAAAACATTTAAAATCATTCACAAAGTAGTGAGAACAATATTATGCTATTTAGAAAGATCTTGACAACATTGTGCAGAAATATATTAAGAAGCGTATGAGAGAACCAGGGCAAAGTATTAATGAATCCTTTATTAATATCATCAGAAAAGATACTCCAGAAAAGAGTGTTTACATGCAGATATCTACATGACACAGCTGATTGTGAGCAATCAGAACATTACCGATGTAGGTGAAGCTCCTTCAAGAGGAGAAGCCGATTTCTTAGAGACATTCTACATACACAACAGAAATAATTTCTAATGATTTGCTAATGAAGAATTCTAGGTGGAGGCATTTTTTTCGTAAAAACATTATCACCAAATAGTAAGCTAAGCAGAATAATTGCCATTATTGTATATATCTTCAACTGAACTAATTATAATAGTAAAATATACCAGAAATTGAAAACCATGATTACTTTCTAAAAATTGTGTCTATCCTTTAATGTCAATATTTGAAATAGTTAATAGTAAAGGATAGACACATTTAGTGTCCAGAGTATATATTTTTCTTAATAAATCTACATTTAGATGAAATATAACTTCTCAGGTGTGATAATTCCAATTAAAAATAAAACTGGTAGCATTCCTAAATGAAAATTGCCAAGTTGAAAAATGGAGGCACCATCACTTCCATTTGGTTGCAGATACAGTACTTGATTTTTCCTCAGCTTTTCTACAGCAATTGTCATAGTTAAATACGGTCATTTCTAACTTCCAGAAGTCACCTTTGGCATTTCATAATGATAATTAGCAAATTGTAGTTGTTCATGAAGCAATGCTGTGAGAAATCTGATGGATACAAATTCCTCTCCCTCATAACTTACTCATAATTGTCTAACGGAGAACCATATTTTATCAAATAAGAGAGACAGGTTTATAGTAGATCTAGATGAAGTTACACCCTCTTTGAATGGATAGATTCACATCCTCCCTAATCCAGTTCTGCCACTTGAAATTTAGATATCATTGGGGGCTAATTTGGATTAAGCAACACTAGTTTACCAGCTGCAACATCTTGAATAGGAAGTCTGCTCACAATCATTTGTGTTATTATCCTTCAACCTTATTAGTTCGTGAGACTGCATTTAAAGTTAGTTCAGGGGCTAAATTCGATGCAAATCATATCTGAACATATTTAATAAAACCTTGTTCCTGGAGCCTGTTCCAAGTAAGGTTAGGTTAAAGTGCCAGATTATTTTTTAAACCTTATAATGCTTGCAGCATGTAACCTTAAGGATTGCTTTCCTTCAACATGCCTGAAAAATCATCTATTGACCCCTTTCTCTAAGTCTCTAAGAACTCAACAACATTTTCCCAAATAAGTACCAGAGGCATATTTATAACTAATAAATGAAGATAATAATAATTAATAGCTATAGCAATAACTCTTAAGACTTATATACTGCTTCATGATGCTCTACAGCCCTCTCTAAGTGGTTTAACAGAGTCAGCATATTGCCCCCAACAATCTGGGTCCTCATTTTACAAAACTCAAAAGGCTGAGTCAACCTTGAGCCAGTCAGGATTATATAGGATAATTAAACCTAATTAAATATAATACTGAATATTTATTTAAGTAATATGTTATCTTAAAAATACAGCAAGCCACCCACAAGAGCAGCCAAACAGAAGGTCATTCTCTTCCACTCTCATGGGTTGGCCAATTGACTATTTTTCAAGACTATGAACAGGATAATTTCAGATGGCAAGCCACATCTGGACTGCTGTTATAATTTAAAGTATGTGGCCATTAATAAGTAGGCTTGTTTGCTTGCAGAACTCTAATGATTAAATGTTTCCCATAAGGCAGGGGTCTCCAACCTCCAGACCATGGACTGGTACTGGTCCACAGTCTGTTGGTAATTGAGGTGTAGAAGTGGCAGTTGAGCATGCAAAGCTTCATTTGTGCATGCACGGAATCTAGGTTGTGCATGAGAAACCATCCCCACCCTACGACCACCGCTTCCACCATTGCTGGTCCATGGAGTCAGAAAGGTTGTGGACCACTGTCATAAGGATTTTGCCAAGCACTAATGCTACTTTCATCTAATGACAGATCATAAAAAATTTAAACTCATCCAGGAACTTGGCTGAGCATTCTTTTGGTTTCTAATTTACTTTTACTGGAGTAACTTACACATATGTATAACATATGTGCACACACCAAAAAATACTTATTCTTTAATTTGAAATTTTGAAATTTCATATACTTACAAATATTTCAATTGGAAATTGGAAATTTTGTGATAATTTTTTAAAAATTCCTCGATAAGGAAAAAGAAGACACTTTTACATTAACTGTTAACTTTATTAAGATTTCAGAAGACATTTATATAAATAAAAATAATGATGGTCATGTTTTTCTCATTCATTGAAAACTATGTAATAATTCATGATAGTCATGCAGAATAATAAGAGGTCAGTTTTATTTGAAAAATGAGATGAGTATTACATGCACAGTTTCATCTAAATCATTATTTACTTCCGACTTGTGTTATTTTCCTTTAATATTAATTTTATCTATAATTAAAATAATTATATTAAAAAATGCAAAGCAGTAATCAATTAAAGCAATACTTTGTAGCAAAACTGTATAGGCCTAAAAACAGAATGAAATACAATCAATTCAGCTTACCTGAGCTGATGTTCTCTTAAATTAGACAAAGCTTCCATTCCATGTAAATAAGAATATACTATCTCCAGATCCTGGAAAAAGAAGAGAACGAACATTTAATGAGAAAGTATGACAGATACAATAGTTCCTATTTGTATAATAAAAGGAACTCAAACCAAATAATTTGATTGTATACAGTGTGTTATTGACCTACCAAATGTGAACATTTCTTAATTCCATAACACAGGATTTTCTCTGAGAAAACTGAATCCCTGGACATAATTTCAATTTTAATTAAATAACATTTTAATTAATGGATTTCATTTACTACAAATCCTGCCCATTCCACATACTATCACAAGGCTTCAATTTACAAGTTAGGATGACTCTAAATTATACCTGAAAAATATGCCCATCTCAGAGATATTCTGAAAGCTCACATGTAAGTCCATGTCTAATGTACAAAGAAATAAAGCTGGAAAGGAGATTCAGCAAATTAAAAGGGTATAATACAAATGAAAAATAGCATTATTTTGCAACTTTTTTCTTCTCAAATATGTTTCTTTAAAAATACAGAATTGTTAAGAACATATGAATCTAAATGAACTGAGATCGTACCAATAATAGAAAATAAAATATGGAAGCAAATTGATGTATTTTGTTAAATGCTTAGATTTATAAACAAAAACAAGCCAGATAAGTAAGGAAATGATCCAGATAAATATAATTAAATTTACACTAAACGTTCAAAACATACAGTTTTGAAATATTTTCCACTCATAAAACTAGCAAAGAATAAGAGTTCTAGGGTTATTTATTTTTTTAAATCTACAAAACATACAAAAACTATGCCACACTGATTATTATTATGAAAAGGGGGGGGGGGGGCTGGTTGCTAACTTTTCATTTTCATGAACTTGGTGAAAGGTAACAGAGAAAATTATACAAAATATTTAACACTAATACTGAAAAGCAATGCAGGTAGCCGCAATTAATGACAACTGGTTCACCTATTGTTTGAATTCATGAAGGCATTGAAGCTGAGTACCTGTGCACCCGTGCATTCTTGCATTCAAAATTACAATGGTGCTGAATAAAGAGAATTACAATCTATGTTGAAGTAGCAGCTGCTAGAGCCCCACAGTCACATGATCAAAGTGCACGCACTTGGGAGCCAATTGGGATACTTTTGTACCATTGTGTGCCTGTTTATCTATTATAATATGACAATCAGACAAGAGTAAATTCTTCAGTTGGTTCTGCAGTTGGTTCCCTGGTCCTGACTGCCCGTTTATAAGAAATGAAGAAAGTGTGCCTATTATCAAACTTTTAATTGTTAATTATGCTAGTGGTATATGATTGATGGATTCTTAAAACTGCATTGAGTCCACAATTATATTTTACTGTGGAGAAAGGGCTTTGATCTTACCTGACATAGCCTTTCTCAGGGAGTCGACAGGAGAATCCAGGTTGGGTAGTCTCTTGTCTCATTACTCTTAGTCTGAATTCTGAGGACACGCCTCCCTGGTAACGGTCCCCAGTTGAAACGAAGACAAAGCAAATCCTGTTCATCTTCTGCCAAAAGGTAGTCATCCCCCCCGGACCCTGACCAGACAGTCCTCAGGGTGGGACTGGATTCTCCTGTCGATTGCCTGACAAAGGGCATGTAAGGTAAGACCAATGCCCCTTCTCCCCTGTGTAGACGGGAGAATCCAGGTTGGGACATACCAAAGCTGGATGTTCTATAGGCGGGAATTGGTCTGGTCTGGAGTCCCCACCTCAACATGTACATCTTGCAGGACACGCCCTCCAAAGGCCACCTTTGCAAAGGCAAAAGTGTCTAGCCAATAGTGCCAGATGAACGGTGATGGTGATGACTATGTCGCTGCCCAACAAATTTCTTCTACAGATGCCTGGGTTGCCCAAGCTGCCATTGTGGCCGCGCTTCTGATAGAGTGTCCTGTAATTCTCCTGGGCACCAGAAGGGCCTGCAGCTCATAGGCCTTGGCAATACATGCTCATAGCCACAGTGGAAGGTGTAATCTTGTGACCCAGAGTCAACAGCTGAAAGGAGAAAAACAGGGACTCGATCTTCCTGATGGAAGTGGTTCATTTGATGTAAATGCGGAGGGTCTCCTAATGTCCAAGGTGTGCCATTTCTTCTCCAGAGCATGTTTAGGCCCTGGACAAAAATAGGGCAAGATCAACTCCTGGGAGCGATGGAACAAGGAGTTCACCTTGGTCAGAAAGGCAGGGTCCAACCGCAGAACCACCCTGTTCGTATGAAAAACACAGAGGTCCTTTCTCACAGATGGCTGCCAACTCTGAAATCCGCCTGGCAGATGTAATGGCCACAAAGAGCCACCTTGCATGTGAGTAAGTGTAAGCTAACCTCTCGCAGGGGCTCAAATGGTGCAGAAGTCAGTGACACCCCTAAGAAAGGCTCTCACCTAGGGTGCTGGGTAAGAGAACTCAGATCCTCAAATGACACCACCAAAGCCAGGGCTGTCCCTGCCGTCGTAAGGTATTAGAGGAGGGACTCTTGCAGAAAATCCAGTATATCCCCCGAGGTGGGTAAATCCCCCAAGGTGGGTTCAATGTGGCGCTTCGAACACCAATCACAGAAAATCTTCCACATTGCATTATAAATCTAGTAGTGGAATGCCGTCTAGCCGCCTCTATGACCTTATTGGAGAACTTCTCCCATCTCAGAAGTCCCCGCTCAAGTGCCACATGGTCAACTGGAGCCACTGGGGCTCCAGATGGTTGATGGGACATTGGCTGAGGGTGACTATGTCCGGGGGAATCCTCCAAGGTCTCGAAATCAACAGGCTGACTAGATTGGTGAACCACGGTCATCTGGGCCAGTGAGGAGCTATCAGCAAGAGCTCTGCCCTTTCTGACAACACCTTCCTGATTACCCCCAGAATCAGGGGAAGAGGGGGAAAGGCATACAACAGGTCCTGGGGCCATGGGCAACACAGTGCATTGACCCCTTCTGCTCCTGGTGCTGGAAACTTCACAAAGAATCTTGGAAGATGAGTGTTCAATGGAGAGGCAAAGAGATCCAGAATCAGATGGCCAACCTGCTCCGAAAGCTCCTTGAACAGACTGGGATGCAGACGCCACTCTGACTGGTCGACTGTGGCCCTGCTGAGCCACTCTGCCTGCACATTTGAGACTCTCGAAATGTGCTTTGCCTGTATCGATGGGTGGTGTTTCTCTGCTCAAAGGCAAAGTTGGGTCGCTTCCTGCTGATTTATGTGGGCCTTGGTGGCTACATTGTCTGTGAGGAGGACATGCTGTCCCAAAACCTCCTGCTGGAAACTGCTGAGGGCCAAATAAACCACCCTGAGTTCAAGCCAGTTTATATTGTGACATAGCTGAGACTGAGTTGAAAACTGGGGACCGTCACTAGAGAGGCGTGTCCTCAGAATTCAACTCAGTCTGAAGAGCAATGAGACAAGAGACTACCCAACCTGGATTCTCCTGTTGACACCGTGGCGAAAGTAAAGTAATTACTAAATACCAATCATTATAAGTAACTCATCAATATCCATAAAACTGAAAGGACTAAATCCAAGATTCTATGCATGCACAACTGGGGAAAACGTAGGCACTTCTGTTATCTTTTAATAGTTCTTGAAATTAAACTATTATTCAGGCCAGTTCATTGACAGGCTAATTGAATACCATACTAAATCTTCAGAAGATGTACTTAGTTGTATTCAGGTTTACCAACATGGACAATATTGTGATGTGTAGGCTTCAACTTCCAGAATTTTCAGCTAATACAGCTAATAACTCTGGGAAATGAAATTCACATATCTCAATTGTTACTTAGGTTGGAAAATCTGATTTGTAATGGTATATGGGAATGACCTTAGAAGAAGAGCCACAGACTGGATAACCATCATGTAAAAGATATTTCAGAGCACAGAAATGAGGAGGAGGACATAGGAAATGTTTCAGAAGGGACCCTGCCTAGTTTTCTGGAAAGTAAAAAGAAAGTAGGGGAGATATACTTTCAATCTTACAAGATTCAATTGAGGTAACCTTGCAATAAAGACAAAAATTGTGCTTCTTTACCACAAAGAGCTAACAAATTTAGACTGTTTTATATAACTAATTCCCCATCAGACTTGTTTCTGAAAAGCATAAAACTGTAAACCACAATACTTTTAGGACTGTCAAGATACTCAAGAATTGCTAATACTGGCACAGTATTAACTGTTGTCTAAAAACAATATATTGACCTGGAAATGAGATAAGTAATCTTGATTTCTAGATCAGATTATTAGGTTAACTGTAAAAAAATTCCAGAAATTTATAAGGCTGCCCAACTCTGTAACAACTCTAGGTAATCTACAGCAAAAAACAAAACAAAAACATTAAAAAAAAACAGAAGAAGAAAAGCATACTTTAAAAGACACTGTTAAAAGCATACGTATGGCATCCACTCTAACCCACAGCCTAGGGAAAGAGCTAGGTTTTCAAAACTCTTTTGAACATGGCCTGGGTGGTCTATGTACCAAGACAAAAAGGTGGGTGTGAAATGTTACAAGTACATCAGATGGTTGAAGAAGAAAAATGGCTTTGGAAGAATATCTGAAGGACAATTATGAAGATGCACTGAAGTTAGTATATCAGGAAGGCTTACTAACTATTGGAAAGACCAAACTGGCCTACAAGAAAGACCAAATGAAGAACAGACAAAGCACTAAATGGCCAGTACATTTTTAAAAAATAGCAGGGAAAACAGATAACAACAAGACCTGGCAATGGCTAAGAGAAAGAAGCTTGAAGATAGAGACTAAGGGACTAATTCTGGCTGTAACAAGACCAAGCCTTAAGGACAAATGTATATAAAGCCAGAATTGAGAAGACAGCAACATATAGTAAGTGCCATCTATGCACAGAAGCTGAAGAAACAGTGGACCCACCTGGTAAGCTGCTGCAAGAAGATTGCACAGACCGACTACAAGCAGCGGCACGACAAAGTAGCAACAATGTGCACTGGTAGATCCGCAAGAAATATCATTTGCCTGCAAAAGCAAGAACTGGTGGGGCCAGAAAATAGAGAAAGTCATAG